TCGAGATCAATTAACAGGATATTTTTTGCAATCAAACTTCACTTGACTTTCATTGGTCCTAAATTGTTCTCTGTTAAAGACAATATCGCTCAACAAGCTATCTCTGTATGCATATCTCAGTTCACCTGCTCCTGTGGAGCAAAATGCCTTGGCTGTAGCTGGAGATTGCTGCCAACAAGTAATGAATACGTTCAGTCATTAGTCTATTGTTATGATACAGTAGTTATTCAATTTTTAGCAGTATTATTTGCCAGTTGAGTAATACCAGACTGTGTTGCATACTACTGTCAGAGATAAAACATTCCTTACAGGCATGGAAGAAGTGTTAATGTCAGAGAAAACTTTACTAAAACCTTTATACAGAACATAGGAAATTTCTAAAATGATTAAGATTTACCGCTATGAAGCATTTTCTTGTTGTGGCTTACACATTGGGTGATGATTCAAGAAGAAATGAAAATCCACAACTCCATAGGATTCGGATCTTTTTACTCTATGTTACTGATCTTGTCCTTTAAAAACTGTGCTACAAGACGATGAGGCATCATCCGGTGCCAATAATATGAATCTGTCAACGATATACATCTCATCTAGTCACACTGGTCGTTAAATATTTAAGTCTATTTTTAAACTACTTAACGTTTGTATTCAGTAGTGTAAGGCACCTGTTCGAAATTACTTAGGCGACATCATAACTCGTATCCAATTTTTTTAAAATCTCTATAAAATTAATGCAGCAACGAATTGATTGTTTAGAAAACTGCCTATTCGTCAGAAAAACAAGATGGAAAACACTTTCTTTTAAAACATTTACTAAATGACAAGTATAAAAAAATAGAAAATAAAAAAATCATCCCGTTAACCTATAATTATCTTGTTCGAATGCGTTAGCAAATAACCATAGTTGTTCCTAAAGGAAGATCAATGAGGAATACAACATTTGAATCCAGCGATCAATAGAAAGGAAGTAGAACAATATTTCCACTATTGTTATTTACTTGTGATTGTTTTACTAGAGGGGAACAATTATTTAATCACTGAGAACTGGAAGAGCTATGGATACGGTAATGAATCAATCAAGATGTATATATTGAAGATAACGTTTCTTATTTTGAAGTGGTTGGGCTTTCTACAAAGAGGCAGTCAGTGGGAAACCGTTCTTAACCTAGGTTTCGCAGCTTTTGTCACTGGTCAGAAGAGAGTATCTACAAACTCTTGGGAACTGATGTCCCTTCTGAGATTCGAAACCACGTCACCCATTGTTGCAGTCAGTTACGTCACCACTGACCTCCTGCATCATTGGACCACCCAAGTTTCTGGTTTGTTAGCACTTGTCCAAGGCTTCCTACCTGCAACCAGCTAACATTTATCAACGTGCACCGCGATCCTGAACGTCCTAGATTGGTGGTCAGATTGCAAAGTGATCGATAAAGCTCGGTCAGCACTGAGGATGACTAGACAACATGAGATTGGTTGCTTCTCAGAGACTAGTCAATGTGCAGCCTCAAACAGTTATACTTCTACTGAGTTTAGGGATCAGCTATTGAAGGGAGATTTAGACAAAGCAATAAGAATTATATTTTTAGAATAAAATAGATACTTTTTGGCTGTATGCAGTCTAAAACCACAAAAGTTGTTAGCATATAAGGTAACTGAAAGTCAGGAAACCAACAATCTTAATTTATGCATCAAAATCATCGCTAACCTACATAATATATATGAGAAATAATTATGCGTAGAGAATGGAACAGTGAATACTAGTAACGTCCAAAGAAATGACATCCATTGGCTTGACATCAAATCACTGAGTTGATATCAGGGACTGATTAAAACAAAGTAGTAGGATGAGACAAAAATTCATTCACTAAAGCAGTGAAACACTGATCACACTGTTCTTCTGTATACAGAAATTTGATCGAAGGCGTTTTATGGCAATCTCTTGCACGAAATAACCTCAATCTTATGAATGTAATTTCTCTATGTTACTGTTACTATGCCTAGTTATGAGAAAGGACGGTAATAATTAACGACTGAAAGTCGAGGGGTGAGAGGATTCAACATGAATTATTCGCAGACTGGTAATCAATTAAGTTTATAATGTCTCAAACTGAAAACGCTCATTAATAGAAACTGGCCCTATTTACAGACTTTAAAATAACCTCGAAAGACAAAGAGTAGATAGTACATTTAAAGACGTGAGAGCCAATCAGAACGCTAGCGGGTTACATGAAATACGACCGATGTATGTGGAAAAAGAAGCGCAAAAAAAACAGTTCAAAATGTAGAAACGGTAAATAGGGAAAATAAGGGATGTGAATTATTATAAATTGTTTCTTTCTTATTTTCCTTACCTCTCAGTACATATTATATAGATTAACAATCATTTTAACGTACAACTTAAGATCATTAATTTCTTAATTATTAGTCGGGTTGAGGGGAGTCAGCAGGAAGTTCTGGAACTACGTTTCTTACCTCTTGGCACTTATTGCCAAAGCGTATCTGCAACCTTGCTGGGACCGATATTCTGCCTGAGGTTGCTAATTTTCAGTCATTTAATGCACATGCCGAGTAATTCACAATGGAAAGCTCAGTGATGCCTTTGAAGTGAAGACAGGAGTAAGACAAGGCTGTCACCTACTATCACCGATGATCTTCCTGATTGTGATGGACTGGATCCTGCAACAAACCGTGAGGAGTGAGAAGAGAGGGATACGCTGGACCGCGGAAAAGGTCCTAGAAGATTTAGATTTCGCCAATGACCTGTGTCTAGTGTCACACAAACTCGAAGATCTACAGGCGAAAACTAACAAGTTATCAGAAGAGGCAGCGAAGGGAGACGGGACTTCAAGTGGACGTGGAGAAGACAGAGCTGATGATGATACCCAACCAACGACACCACCACCACCAACAAGCTCCAATCACCATCAACTGGAGCAACCTAAAGGAAGTAATCTCTTTTAGCTACCTTAGCAGGGCAGCATCGATTCAATTACAGGCGGCATGGATGAGGATGTCAAAACCGGGATCGGAAAAGCAAGACAGGCTTTCATAAAACTGAAATCAGTGTGGAGATCTTCTGCACTCAGCATAAAGCATAAACATCATCCAGATTTTCAACACTAAGTCGACCAAGTCAGTGCTTCTATATGGTTCAGAGACTTGGCACGTTACGGAAAGCGTTTCCAGCAAACTGCCTGCTCTGGCTGGTTACAGAAGCTCAGATGGCCAGAAAGAATAAGCAACAACGAACTTACTCTGGCAACGAACCAACCAAGAACCTATAGCTCAACAAATATGCAGAAGAAAGTGGAGATGAAGATGGATTGGGCATACACTGAGAAGACCATTCGGGGACATCACGCATCAGGCCAGGCCCTCCAGTGGAACCCAGATGGGAAACGGCAAGTTGGGCGTCCGAGTCGAGGGTGACATGGAGGAGATCATCTGAGGAAGAAATGAGAGCTTCTGGGCAGTCGTGGAAACAAGTTCAGGAGATTGCAGAGAACAGAGTGTAATGGAGGCGTGCTACTGAAGCCGTATGTTCCACTAGGAACTCAAGGGACAAATAATATTCATATAATATGCACCGACAACCATTTTAATTTTAAACTGTGTGCAGCTGAGAAGTACCCATAAAATAAAATGATATCATTTCATTCTTCAAAGTTAATTCTTTTTAGTTTGTCCAAATTCATCAGAGGATCCAAATGTACGGTAATCAATTTAAGCCTAATGTTTTTTCTTAGATAACAATATCCGACTAGAGCCAAGTCCTGGGTAGAAAACAAGATTCAGTTGCTGAGGTGGGTTGTTCTTGAGTTATGGCTTACACGATTTAACTGACCAGCTCAGAAAACGCAACACAGCCAAGGTTTATCAATTCAGTAGAAACAATGTCAACAAGGCTGCTTTATTATGAACTGGAATTCATAAAAATGACCTTAATTGACCTTCAGGTTCTACGCTCTCTTTCTCTCTCGATGGAGTTGGACGCTTATCTGTCTAGGATTGAACATTAATAAGTCTGATGGGAGGAAAGTTTTTGGCTAGACGGGTATTCTTGAAGTATAACGTCTCAAGTCATTCGAGGGATGCATTTGATAGAAACATTTTATCGTAAACGATTTCAAGCATTTTCAACCATTTAGTACTACTTTTTTAAATGGAAGAAAGATGTTTTCATCAAGGCATCATCATAAGAGCCCATCCACTAACAAAGGTCAACCAATTCAGCCCTGTATATCAACAGCGAATTTCAATTATCAAAACAACAACCACATTCAATACATTTTAAATCAGGCTCCCTGAAATATTACACAATATTGTCACTACAGAATAAAATTCTCTATAAATTTTTAATTAATCTTGGATTTAATCTTGACCTGATATTGACTACTTTCTTAAAACAGATTTAATGTGACAAGTAATGATAGATAGCCTATCCGGGGCTCAACTTATCAGGTTCCTATAGTTAAGTGTCCTAGTTGAGTAGGAAAGTACCTTGGCCACACAAACACATTGCCTATTAAACAGAGGAATCAGTCTATCATTTTTCATTTCCAATTTCTTTTTTCCATCCTAAATAAATTAGGGAGAAGTGTCCTGGTAATAAACATCAACCCTTAGTGACCATATTGCAAAACGATCGATAAAATTAGATCACAAAATGTCTAGTCATGCAGTATTGTAGTGAGGGTTGCTGATAAAAATGGATTTAAGTAGTATATGTCGAGAGGGTGGCAGAAATCATAGGGAATTACCAGCAAGCAGTGGGTAAGGATTCTACCAACAGAAACGCAAGGCACAACTCAGGCGTATGAAGAGCGAATCAAGAGAGAAGCAGTAGAGGAAATGAAGTACATTTTTTAGCAAATGACGGTTTTAATACCATATTTAACGACTACTGTACCACTTGTTAACAATAAACATTCCTTCCTTCGTCTCTGTTTCATCGTTTTCTTCATTATAATATTTGTACGAAAATTATAAATTTCACTTACCTGAGTTTGTGTAAGTCCCAATGAAGCAGCTAATTCTGCACGTTCTGGTAAACTTAAATACTGTGTAAGATGAAATCGCTTAGCCAATTGTTGTAATTGCATACTGGAGTAAATTGTACGTGGTTTACGTAACTTTTTATTTTTATCTTGAACCATCCCCTTGAACATGTTATCGAAGATGATTGTTGAAGTGGTGTCGATGCTGCCGGTGTTGCTGTTGTTGATGATGATGAGGAGGAGGAGGAAGAGGAGAAGGAGGATGATGATACAACTGTTGGCATTGTTGTGGTATATCCCGACGGTGAACAAGAAGAAGAACATGACGCTGAGGAAAAGTTCCCAATGATATGTCTAGAGTGTGGAAAATTTAGCATTCTAGTCATATCATCCATCACACTGACGCCGACAGTTTCACCAGTTATAGCTTCAGAGTCTGTATGTCTGTTAAAGTTTGTAGTCGTTGGTGAACAATGGAATGCACTGGTTGCTGAAGGGTTTGGAAAGTTAGCATGAAAAGTATCTGTGGAATGATTAAAGTATACAGAGTTTACTGTCCTTCCGGTTGTATGATTCTTGTCATTTTCATCATCCTCATCCTCTACGTCATCTCTTTCTGTCATTTGGATATCAGTAGAATTTTGTTGAACAAAATTCATTCTCCAAGGAGGCTTGTTCTGTTCAAAATCATGGTGACCATTATCGTTACAGATAAAAGTTCTATGATTTTGATGATAAGTATTACTTCCTAAGGTTTGATAAGCGTCATTAGACTCAGTCCAATTGCAACACTTCTGATGACGTAAAATATTTTGTTCTGTTGGTACTGTTAAGTAATTGAGTGAAACATGTTTGTGATAATTCATCCCATTGTTTACATCAGTAAAATGACCTGTTATACATGGATTACTACAATTTTTACTACTGATTATATTTCTTTGAGTAATATCTATATCGGGTTGCTGAATTTTATTAACTACCGTTGAAGAAGATGATATATAACTTTCTGAAGTAGTTGAAGTAGAAAATGATGAATTCAGTGAGACGTAACCTGATGAATCGGTTATGTAATTAGAAGGATAAGATGAAATATGATGATCAGTGAACACTGATTGGTTATCATAAATTGATGATGGAAGTTCACACTTGATCTGTGTAGAATCATAATGGTTACCATCATTAGTAAGAGTGGTGTCAGTTGACCAGTTAATCATCGGTGATTCTATAGAATGGTTAATTGTACATGATGGTGCCGTAACTCCTTGAGAAATACATGAATCTTTTGATGAAGGATCATTGGTAAGGATCATCATTGGTAAGATACGTTCTTGCATTAAGTGAATATGATGATGATGCTGATGTGGAGGAAGAAAATGATGCACATATTCTTCTTTTTCTATTTCACCACCTTCTTGTACCACCTCGTCCACGTTATTCGCCTTAACTCCCTCCAGATCCTTGATGCTACTATTTTTGTAGTTGCTTACAACTATAGAGTAATACTGATCGAATTTATTGTCTGCCAAATGATTTTTGTTCATAATTGGTGCTGGTGATTCTGTAAGAAGTTTTTAGAAAAACGTATTAAATATTTTACGATAGTTTTAAATGGGGAATATTTCTGTCTTAGGTGGATAATCTTGATTGTGTTGTATTCTCTGAGCTGAGTTGTTTAATCGTGGAGCTTTCATCATCTTTCTAGATGATATCATCAGTACTGACTTCAATATCAAAGAACACAACACAACCAACAGACTTCAAGTTTCTATTCATCATTAACTGACATCAGTTGGAGAACCACTGAGAACTTGAGAGCACCAGAGAACTGTTTCGTCCTAGTAAGGAACCCCTCAGCAGGTGCACATTCGTGAACCCACCAGGGCTTGAACCCTGAACCCTTATGTTCCGTGGTCAGCAAGTTGCCATTGAGCCAATGGGCCCGTGCTTCCTACAAAACAGTTGTCCACTGTTCCCAGGTTCCCAATGTTTCCCCAACATATATTAGTCCATGATGAATACCAGCTTGAACTCAATAAATCTCCAGAAAGATCCCGAGATACTTTTAAGTATTGAAAAACATCCTAATCATATTATAGTTCTCTGTCCTGATAAAAACTCAATTGAATATGATATCTCATACTCGTTTAATGAATATGTTTAAGTCATAACCGAAAATTGCTGACGATTCATTTATGAAGTAGATATCCACTATTTATATCACAACGATGTGATTAATGATAGTCATTGTTTGACCTGAATGGCTTCATACTGGTCAAACTGATCAGCACAATGCATCTTTCATGGTGTATATGTATTAATATAGCCAACTGATCGTTCAACTAGCCCCACTTTTTGACTTCCAACATCTCTGAGGTGAGGTACTTTTTCTCTCTATCTCTCTCTCTCTCTCTCCTTCGCTCCCTGTCCAGTCAGGACTTCTCATACCAGTCCAAATTTGTTTGAACTAGAAAGCGGTAGCATGATATTTACTATCAGTCTGACCATCTGAGATAACCATGGTTTGGTGGACTTGTATCGATAGTAACGCATCAAGAATTCACTATGCGGTTGAGTCATATAGTTCAATTGTTAGAGCACAGAGCCAGATTCGAACCCGGTGACTACTAATTTGAATCCTCTTGTGGACCAGATTTTCACTTCACCCTCAATTATCACCTAGTATCAATACAGAGTCTACCGAATCACTACTCAGATAGTCAAACTGATAACCCCATTACTTTCATTAGCAAACAAGTAACATCAGAATGTATCATGTATCCTATCTGATCGCTGAACATACTAAAATCTGTGGAATTGTTGATTCCTGCATTCTAAATAAGGGAAACACTTGATACGAAACAATCTGCTGAATGAAAGTTAACAGTTATCTATCAGGAGTTCCGAAGAAAACATCATTAGCAGTGGATTTGAACAGTAGCTGTAATAGATTTCAGATGTTATTTAATCCTAAAACAAAGGGTTCAGAATCTGATTAACAGTAAATTAGGCATAAATCGTGGATATGAGCATGAATCTCTAAATTTATACCAGTCTGCTTGATACTGTTTGTTGACGAATGCCAGGAAATGCATAAAATCTATATCTAGGGGTTTTTGCTCATAGTTTTCAGTCACCTAAGATAAAACTAGGTAGATCATGTAGTTGAGTTCGAAAATGATTTAAGATGTTACATTATGAACGCCTGTAACTCTCTAGTTATTAATAAACTACAAATGAATTACGGTTTGTGTACATAGATAGCCATATTGAACCACTTATTGGGGAATTGATTTACTTTGTATGACAGGTATATTGTACACCCACTTTATGTTATGAGAACCTAAAAGATGGTAGAAAGCTACACTACTCCGACAACCAAACTAGAAATCCACTGGTTGGTTCATCAGGATTGATTTATTTCTATATAGTCCCCATCACAGACCAATGTTCACTTAAAGGACCGTTGAAAGCCTGAGGTCGCTAGACAGTTTTTCTTCCTGGTATGAAGCTCTTCAGCAAGGCACATGCAACTGACGTCAGTCTATGATAAACTCGGAGGCCTCAACTAGACGTTAAAACCACATGCTTTGACAAGAAGATTAAGTCGGATGAGTTAGCTTTTAATATCACACTTACCTGTCATAGTGGGTCAGCCATATAGTCGATAGTAACTGACTTCTGTCAAAAAATTTAAGTGTTGAGATGACACTAACTGTTCTTGGCTTTTTCCCATATCTCATAGTTATCAATGTGGTATGAGGTCTGTGTTATCCTGTGGTTGAGTGGACCGAACTGATCGGTTTCTGTTGGCATATAGGTTCCCGCGCCAATGCCTCGATATTGCCTGTTTTTTTCATTAATGATGGATAGTGGCTAGCAGTGGAATCCAGGAAGTGCATTTCAGGATAATACAAGTGACAACATCAAAACTGTCCCCATTGCACAAGAAGTGGCTATCGTGAATCAGTGGTCTAGTGGACAACGCTCTTGCTCTTAAAGCTCTCGGTCCTGAGTTCGAGCCCTGTTGAGAACAACATCACTCACTGGGAGGTAGGTACATCTGGCTGATGAGTCCCAAATAGAACGTAACGCGCGTCATTAGTCCAAATGCTAGCCATTATCCAGTGGTATACGATTGTTATCAGTACAAACACAGTGATTCTGTTGACAAGTAGAGGAAGAGTTTGGAAATAATAATCAATATTGATTTGTGCTATGAACCACTTTCGAATCACCTGATATTCTTCAGTTACCCAACCTGAATTTTACTCACTATTTATTCATTTTAGGCGCATCATATTTTCCCTAGCCTATTATAAAGTTAGTTTGGCTAAAGAATAACACCTTCATTATGCTTATCAAAATAATATACATTAATCGCATACAAATGCTATGATGGGGATTATTTTTTTATTAGTTAATCTTTGTAATCTGTTCCCTTTACAAAACTAAACCAAGGTGAGAAACTAAGTTTATGCAAAAATGTATCCTTACACTCTAATATCCTTGTGTACAAACTCACTGAAAATTATTTGAATGATCTTAAGCAAAACTCAAGTTACTTTTATTGTACCAATCATCTCCGCCATTTCTTATCATTATATATTCAAATATTTCATAGTGTATAATGACAAGACATTTCAGGCACTTGTACTTAATCCCATCTCGTGTAACTTTCAAAACTGTTCCTTTCTCATATTCAAAGTGTGAAATTCATTTTTGAACTTTGTATTTTTTTTTTACCTCATGCAAGTAATAACTATAAGTTCAGTGAAAATTTTCTTGATTAACCAAAACATTTATCGGGTACTGCTTTGAAAATGTCATTTTTTGCAACATCTTGACCATCCTCAGAAAAATTGGAACAAAGTTGATATTATTGATGGTTGGTGGCTAGTAGTGGAGTCCAGGACGTATGTTTTGTCCTATCTAGGAGTCGTCAGTTGGGAACAATAGCACCTACTGGCAGGGAGGTAGTCTCGGCTGACGAGTCGTAAATAGGACGAAACACGCGTCCTGGATTCCACTACTAGCCACCACCCATCAATTATATCAAATTTGAAAAATACCGACAATATCGAAGCATCCATACAGGAGCCCATTTGTCAGTAGTGTTTTATGCCTACAAATTCCAAGACAATGATAATCCAGTCGATCACTTTTTCTTGACTGTCACTTTCAACAGTTTAATACTTTAAACTTCTTTCTTCTAAAAACATTTTCGTTTGGACCCTGTCCTGGAAATTGCTGTGTAGTAAATAGTGACAAAGAGTCTAATAACAGTGATGATGGATAGTGGCTAGCAGTGGAATCCAGGATGCGCTTTTCATTCTATTTGGGACCCGCCAGCTGGGTATACCTGCCTCCCAACAGACGATGTTGTTCCTACCGGGACTCGAACCTGGGACCGAGCGCACCAAACGCCTGAGCGTTATCCGCCAGACCATCAAGCCACGATGACCACTTCTTGTTCGACGAGTATAGTTTTAGTATTTTTGTCCATAGGCTTGTCTAGTGGATAATGACCTGGCGTTGTAAGTAATCGCCCTCGAGTTCGAATCCTAGTGAAAACAACATCACTCGCTGGGGGGGAGGGGGCGGGGGCAGGTACATCTAGTTGACAAGTCCCAAACAGAACGAAATGTGCATCCTGGATTCCACTGCTAGCCACTACACATCATTAGTATAATTAAAACATAGGCAATATCGAGGCATCCGCTTAGGAGCCCATGTGGTAATAGAAACTGATCAATTCGGTTCAACCAACGACGGTGTAATACAAGTAATAATACTAAAGAGTCTAACAGACCAATGAACGTTTATTGCACAATTTATCTTCTTCTCAAACAACCTGAAGGATGTCTACTAGCATCGGTCATCTGTCTGCGTTATTCTAGATTCAACTCCCAGTCGAAAAATAAAGTTGTTCGACTTGACAATATGCCTGATTATTGTTATTATTATCGTTATTATTTTAAGAAGTTTATTTTCCACTGGTGGGTTATTGTGTTACTTGTGGTGTTCGGTGATTGTTCAACTGATTGGTTGAAGGCTATCTGTGAGAAGCTTTATATAAAAACCCAACAACCAACAAAATAAACTTTGGTCATGACTAATTTATCTTTGAAACTACGTTTACTAACTTGGTAGATAGAATTTAATAACTGCTAAGGATCTAACAACACAACAGAGATTATTTCCGAATGATAAAGTCGCTAATAATAATAATAATAATAATAATAATAATAATAATAATAATAATAATAGTAATAATAATAATAATAGTAATACTCTTATTCACCAACCTATCAAACTAGAATATCTTCAGAAGGTACTCAAGCAACCATATCAACAAATTATCGATCGTCCTTTAAAATGATACAGTAATATTGTAAAGATTCCCATTTGGTTATTAGGAAAAAACACAATGTGAGCGAAAAAATCTTTGTTTTCAATTATTTCCTCATCAATAGCTTAGAATAAATATATACCATTCTCAAATTATAAAATCATGTATCAGTTCCAATGGTGACAATCGTTTCATAACTGCTTATCAATCTCAAAGTATCATAGGGTCACCCATATGATAACTCATCGATTCATCAATTCCCATGGTGATCGAAACACACCGAGTTTGTGTGTTTAGAAGAAATTCATACAGCCTCTTTCTCTGTCTTAGTCGTCAGTATAGTTTATGTGTAGAAAAAACATCACCCTTCCATTCTTTTATCCCATAAACATTTGTAACTATTATCATTATTACAGGTTCTTGTTCTTCCCCCCTGTTGTCTCTAATTGTCATCAACACTTAACCACCTAATATGATAATTATAATCACATAAGATAATCGTAATAATAATTGTGATGATCAAGGCACAAGATAAGAGATTGAACATACTTCTGCCAGCAGAGATCAGGCTTGAAGTGGTGGATTACCATTGCTTCTGCTATGCACAGCTGTCGAAGGTATACTCCTTTAGAACTATTTTTTTGACTCTATAAATGACACTGAAGGAGGACTGTGGTCTAGCTATATGTCCAGAGTTGATCAAACATTCAAAAATTGAACTGTTAATTGATTTATATTCTCTTCTTGATACATTTTAAAAGTACATGCTTTTTCCGGCCAAAATAACTAGTTCCATGGCAGTAAATTTACTTCCTTTCGGCAGTTGTACACACCAGAGGTACTGGTAATTCATCAGCTTAAGCCTGATCTTTACATGATCTTCTCATCATCCTAACGTCTTGACAATTTTGTTTTCAATTTCATTATAATTAATTAGTTTACTATTATCACCTTCATTATGACCCTTGTCTCGTTCATCAACTTCTTTACATCCATCTATCAAGTGAACATTAAGTATTTGTATATCTCAACTACCAACAATTTTTACGTTATCAAGCTTCTTGCCTTCATCGTTATTTCTGCTATCTAGAAGATTATTATGCAACTACTTTCCATTCATGATTTTAGCTTTTACCACCAGCTTAACTATACAATTATATCCCACTGTTTAATAATATACTGTTATTTGCTTGCTTAATAATAATGACAATAGTAATCATAATGATTACAAATGTTTATGGGATAAAAGAATGGAAGGGTGATGTTTTTTCTACACATAAACTATACTGACGACTAAGACAGAGAAAGAGGCTGTATGAATCTCTTCTAAACATACAAACTCGGTGTGTTTCGATCACCATAGGAATTGATGAATCAAAGAGTTATCATATGGGTGACCCTATGATACTTTGAGATTGATAAGCAGTTATGAAACGATTGTCACTATTGGAACTGATATATAATTTTATAATTTGAGAATGGTATATATTTATTCTAAGCTATTGATGAGGAAATAACTGAAAACAAAGATTTTTTTTGCTCATATTGATAAATTTTATAAATCTTCCTAAAGTGGCCGAAAATAAGAGATTAGTAACAAATCTCTGTTTAAGGATCACCCCAACAAAATTAATGATGATCAACAATCTGGCAGATTTAATGTTGATAATTAAATCGACAACACTATTGTTGCCAACTGTGTAATGACACTTTATCTGTTTTATTCAACTTCCAAAGGTTTGAACTGGTGAGTTTCATCAGTGAGTATCTTAGAGTTATTCAAATATAATGCCTTTTAAATGGGAATTATGAGAATATGTATAGTGTTCAAAAAGGAAAACTTAATCTACTTAGGCAAAAGCCTCTGTTCGCTATTCAAATCTACGTAAACTTACTCAAACTGACCATTATTTTCTCTTTACAAATAATATTTTCACTGGGTGATGATCGAAGATGAGATGAAAATCTGAACCGTGGCCGGATTCGAACCAGCAACCACCAGGTTACCAGCCTGTTATTCTACTAGTATTTTATTTCACTTCACTTACCAAGGGTTTTGCCCGACTATCATGTGAATTCGTGACGCCTTACTACTGCTTGATCGTATTCACACTGCTTGCCTAGTCAGGACCTCTTATCCCAATCGAAATCTAGCTGAATCAGAGAGGGAAAGCATCTTATTGTTTATCTGAGATAGCTATCTCAGATGGTCAAATGATAAACAATATTTTCGTCAGTTATGAGTGAAAATAGGGGAATAAGCAAATTATTTATTCATCAACTTACTGCAGAACAACTCTGTGCTTTTTTCATAAGTGATGATGGGAATTTCTAAGTCTTGTTGATTACTTTTTTCCCATCTGTGACCTATTTCACAGGTCTTCATCAATTCATTGTCTTCATATTCCATATTATTGATTGATTTGTTATCATTTACATTATCCATTTGGCTGGTTTCACCCTTGCTGTGAAAATCACAGATATTATTGTTATTACTGTTATTATTATTATTACTGTTACCATCTTTACAATCTGCCGTATTAACTCCCTTGATTTCTCCAACGAACTCATATCTGTTGAGAGTAGGATTCAAATCATCACCATCACAACCTGGAATGCATAGATCTTCAGAAGGTGATGACTGATTTATCCAAGAATATTCATCAGTGTTTTTGTCATTACTATTATGCTTCATCTTTGTATAATCTGTCCAATTTGATGACTCAGTAATCATATTCAATGTTTTACCACTGAAAGCAATCACTTGATTTACTGATGCTTGACTGATTAAATATGCGCATGAAGACTCAGTGGATGACATCATATAACTACTGAATATACACAGAAGTAATGTTACATTAATTTAGAAGTGTAGATTATTGATTAATCCCCTTATCTGTGTATTGAGTGTATGGGGTAGTTCACTAGAGTGTACTTGACACCTTTTGTAAGCTTGTATATAATGTCCAATGTATACGTTTTAGGAGCTGTATAAAAATGTTTGTATTCAGACGAAATAACACATTAATTTGAATAAGAGATGATGAAAAACAACTATAAAAGCCAGTCACCCAATTTGTACACTGTATTCCTGTTCAAATATGCGACAGTATTCACAGCCAAGATTAGAACAATGTATCCTTATATTTTATTGTTGATTATAGGGTTCTAAATTAAAAAGAAATTATTTACAATATCAAAACATATTACACACATGCTGACTGAGTGGGAGTATGGAAGAAATGAAGTGTGTTTCTCACCGTCTTATTCAATGGTATAAAACCTGATAATTAAATGTGTACCAATGAATATAGGTAAGCTTTATGAAGAATTGGAAAAGTTGTGTCGTTCACCATTATCAGAATGGAATGATTGTGTATGATGTGTCTGAATAAGCACATTTACAGGAAAGGGGATTAAAAGATAGGGAAGTTCAAGAAGCTGAGGGAGGGACTGTGAAAAATCGAGATACACGCTCACTTCACTTGTTTGCATTAGTTACATCAGAAAATCTGTCCTAATTTTCTGTTATGATTATTTCCCTCTCTCCTATAGTGGTGGTAGACAACATTTCTCACTATATTTTCTAACCTCTACAATTCTTATTGGATAAATTCGGACTGAAAAGATAAAAAAAATTCAGTGTCAAATTATTCTATACAAAGTCATACATGCGCTTACGATTATTACCTGACCTATTTAGGATGGAGAGAAAAAATTGGAAGAGAAAAATGATTGGCTAATTCCCCAGTTTAAAAGATGATGTGTTTGTCTAGCCAAAATGCATTTACTATTTCCTGAAATCTAGTTAATTGAGTCCCAATTGAGCCATGTGTATTTAGATTGGCTTAGAAAATCATGATCATTTGTTATATCAGATCACTTATGAGAAAGTAATCGCTATCCACTTATGATTAGATTGAAAATTGGTAGAGATTTTTATTTTGAAGTGACAAGCTTGTGTAATATTTCAAAGTGTATTGTGTATAGTTAATAACTGTTAATAAGATTTCCAGAAAAATCCAAATCTTTTAATGAAAAGTTCTTATTTTGGTAATAATTCAAGAAAATTTATTACCCGTGATTGAACCAACATTTGAAATATTTTACTCGATAATGTAGGCGTAAAACTCGGGCATAGTTAAATTCCATATTAAATTTGTTTATTTGATTTATAACATACACATGGGTAACAGTACTACTTACTTGATGACGCTTTGAGCATAAGTTATCATTGCTCATAATCAATCATATCAATGTAATCACACTCCTTTCTCTACATTTGATTTTTTATTCCTATCGCCCACTTCATATGCTTTGTTTTTATTGGCCGTAAAATATTTCATACTTCTGGTATAGTTGCTGCGTCAGTCCTGTACGTGTGTTGCCTGGGTATTGGTTCGATGAACAAAGATTCAGTAGTCAACTTCTCTCTCCCACACACACACACACACATACAACCTACATATATCAGACTTAAGTACAGCTGTTTTATCTCCCCTATTGTGTGGTTATGTGTTAATGCTTGCATTACAATAGCGGAGTCTCCCTTAAGATTACTGATCTTATTCAGGTCTGTCATTCTATATGTAGCTAAACTCCTATGTTCCATTCATCTAACTGAACCGTCTAGTCTGACCTAAGAAATTGACTTCACAGTCATCACATGGAATTTGGTATTATTACTATTATTTGTTCCTTTGAGCTCTTAATGGAACATAGGGCTTCAGTACAATGTCCACATTTCACCCACTTCTCTTCAGTCTTTTTAACACGGCTCCACGACTGTCCATAAGCTTTCACATGATCTCCTCCATGTCACACTCCAACGCCCAGCTCATAATTTCCTATTTGAATGCCACTCGAGGGCCTGGCTCATGATGTATCCAGATGGTCTTCTCAGTGTATACTCAATTCAATCAATCTCCACTTTCTTCTTCTGCATAATTATTGGGCGATAAGTTCTTGTTTCGTTGGCAGCCAGCCAGCCATAGTTCCTCTATTTTATCCTTTCTGACCATCTGATCTTCAGTATCGAGTGAGCATAGGTGGCAGTTGTTAGTGTATGATGTATGTCTGTAGTTTGTTGGAAATGCATTTCATGAGGTGCCAAGTCTGTCAACCATCATATAGAATCACTGACTAACTTAAACTGACTTGACTGACATTAGTGTTGAAAATGCGTATGTTGTTCACGCTTTATACTGGGTGCAGTGAAGTGCAGTGCATTGAAGTAGATCTCCACACTGATTACTTCAGATCATTGTAGCAAGGACTGTCTTGCTGTCTTTCCGAACCTGGCTGCCTTTCACACTGTCATATGTTCTTGTGCCACCTGTGGTTGAGGCGATGCTGTCTTCATGGTGACTGGTGCTTGTTGTCGTTGTTGTTGTTGTTATCAGTTGGGTATCTTCATCCCTTCCATCTTCTCTGAGTCCACCTAAAGGAAGTCTCATCTTCCTCCGTTGTCCTGTCTCACCTCTTTTGCCAACTTGGTGGTTTTCGCCTGTACATCTTCGAGTTTGCGCGACATTAGTCATTAGACATAAATCATCGTCGGTGGCGAAATCCAAATCGTGTAAGTTGTTGTCATCGGTTCAGCCAGCGTATGCCCATCTTCTCAGTCCGCACGGTTTGCAGCATGATCCAGTCCACTACAATCAAGGAGATTGTAGGTGATAGTAGGTGGCAGTCTTGTCTTCCTCGAGCCTGTCTTCACTTCAAAGGCATCACTGAGCTTTCCATTATGTATCACTTGGTATGTGGCGTCGTCATATAGGTGTTGAATGAGGTTGTTGATAAATGTTTGTGTCAGTGAAGGCGTAGTATTGAAGCAGCTGCCTACTAAATTACTTCTCCATCGACGCCGTCGAAGGCCTTTTCAAAGTCGATGAAGGTGTGGTTAATATCCAGTTGACTGCCATTCTATGCTCTGTTCTGTGATGATGCGTAGCGTAGATTTCCAACTTGATCTGCACATGACTTGTTCTTCCTGAAGCCAGCCAACTAGCCTGTTCCGGCCACAATTTTGAATCAACAGCATTATTTAGTCTCTCCAGGATAATGCTCCATCATATTTTGCTTGAGGTGGACAGGAGCATGATTCCGCGTCAGTTCTTGCAAAGACGTTGGTCTCCCTCCTTTGGGAGTTTGACAAGGTAGCCATTCTTCTAATCAATAGGCAGGTACCTTTCCTTCCTTCTTTCTTTGCAAACCTTCTGCAGTTGTGGTGTGGTGTGAGCATGTCTGCTGATGTTTATGCATGTGTTTTCAATGCTTGTGGAGGAATTCTATCTGGTTGTGCTGCTTTCCCGGATTTCAGCAGGTTTATGGCGTGGCATTCAGGACTTCACTTCTGCTTTTGTCGGAGGGTTTGTGTTCACTGATAGTTGTGTGGCTGGGCTGCTGGTTGTATTTCTGGATGAGTTGCAGGTGGTGGTGGTGGTCGATTCAAGAGTGTTTTGAAGTGTCTAGCCCATTGTTTTCTTTGTTTCTCCTCTTTGGTGGTAACTAACTTTCCTTCACTATCTGTGTTCATCTCTTGCCTCGCAGACAGTAACCTGGTTATTTGATATGGTGCTGTCAGGTCTCTCTTACCTGGAGCCTTTTCTGCTTCAGTTGCAAGAGTGTTATAGAAGTGTGTTTTGTCTTTCCATGCACTCTTCTTCACTTCTTTGTCCAGTGTGGTGTTTTATACATTGTGCTCAGTTCCTCTTTCCGTTGTTCATCCCTGCACTGCACCGGTTCATCTTCTGCTTCACCATCAGCAGCTTCATCATATCTATCAGGTTCCATGTGTTCAAGGAGATCTATTCCTTCTCTTCTTTCTTCTTCCTTCCTAACACGTTTATGCAGATCAACTTCCATGACGCTTTCACAGAGTTCCAGTATTCTTCCATACAGGTTTCCACAGGGATGTTGCCTAATGTCTCCAATTTTTCCTGATGACTGACGTGAAGATATCCCTTGTAGTTTCGCCCTTCAGACCAGTTTCTAAGTGGGCGTTGAACTTGAACTGTGCTCTATCATCGGCTTCTTTGAAGGCTTTCCACTTGATTTTGAAAGTTATTTACTTGCACTAGTTGGTGAGTGGTATGAACCCACATCTGCTCCGCTTCGTAATCTTGTGTCCAGTAGGTTGCGTCTCCACTTTCTTGAGATTGAGATGAAGTCGATCTGATTTACAGTGTGTCCATTTGGTGAAATCCATGTCGCTCTGTCAATATTCTTCTATCTGTACACACCGTCTCCAATCACCAAATCATTAAGTGTTCAGAAGTTTGCAAACAGATCTCCATTCTCATTCATTTCATCAAGTACCTCTCAGCCCATGATTAGATGGTATTTGGTAGATTCGATCAGTTTGCTGAACTGGGTCTATCAGATCCCTTAGCTAGCCGAAAAGCTTATCTTTGAGAGTTTGTAGATTTGAATCCCATCCTAATTCCAAACTTTCTCAAACTCTTACGTAAAGATTCTCATGCTCCTTCCCTATTTGCTAACATTACAGAAGAGTTGAGGAGTGTACGTGGAGTTCCTGATGCATCCTCCTTATGCAGTAACACAATCATTATCATTACTATTGTTATTCATATCACTATTATAATTATTATTGCTATTATTATTAAAATTTGTCCTTCGGGTTCCTACCAGGACACAGGGATTCAATATCACGTCGTCATTTCAATCCCTCATTGCAGTCTTTTGAACCTGGCACCACGACTGACAACACACTTTCATTTCATCCTCACACAACCTCCTCCATATCACCATAGCCTCGGACGCCCAAATCGTCAGTTCCTATCCAGCGTTACACTCGACAAC